GGTTAGATTTCTGATTTTTTCATTTTTCTCGATTGGGGTAATTCCGGCCTGTCAGCTATTTTTCTTGGGGTAATTCCGGCCGCTCCATTCAAATACATGGAGTTTCCTGAAACAAACCTCTGGTACTTTTCAGAAGTAGATTTCAGACATACTCTTCAGGTAAAGGATATTCGTCATGTCATTACCTACAATATATGTGAAAATTGCATCTCAATAGCTCAAAATCAGCAGGCTCTGTAATCTAAATATTTTGATGTAATTTTACACATATTGTGGTAATGAATTTACACAGTATTATTAAATATTCTCATTAATTATGAGAAATTCATGAAAAAATTTCTATATATATCATGGGCTGTACTATTTTTATCAGAATCAGTGATATGTATATATATATGTGCATACATATACTGAATGAAGAAAAGGAAAAATGGACGGTTGCTATAACAAATTATACTTGTATTTTCTTCTCTTATTGCATTAAGTCTAACCGACGTATAAGATGACGGAATGATTTTCTCTCCTTTCGATCGTTTCATCATTTTTATTTAACAGTCATCTATTGACTATTTGTGAAAGGCAAAGGACAACGTGTACATATGTAATTCTACACAAACGGTGCCTTGTTGTCTTTGTCGCACTTTGCTATTAATACGTGCTTATATCGATCAATTAATGTGAATACTGAAATGTGTTGTTCTTCAAAAGTGAATTACCTAACCGAATGTCCTACAAAACAAAGAGACGAAAAGGATGTATTTCAAAATTTATCCTTTCAATCTTTCCAATCGCTCATCAGTTCTGAAACTGCGTACACGATGTGGCGATATTTTTTAGCTTTAGTCTTGTCTAGATGCACATTAACTTTTAAAAAATGGCATTTTCATCACAACCAATTTACAATGTGCTTCAACAACATTATGTATATTCACCATCTGGTGAGCTCGCTTCACTGTATGCATTGGAATGCGTGGTGATTACTGTTATATTTGGCGACAACAGCATAATGATGGGGCGTTACACAGATGTTGAATTAATCCATAACGATGATGAAAATGCCACAGGTTATGATGATCAAGGCATGGAAGCCTTATCGCAAAACATATTCAACTTGAGAAGAAAGCATCTATTATAAAGTAACTAAAAAAAATCGATGTATTATTATCGATTACCCTCTGAATGATGAAACTTTGCAGTTGCAACTTTGAAAAATTGCATGATGAAGTTTACAACATTTTCAGCTCTTAAATATACTTTTTCGACCTAGTAACACTTTTCAAAAATCTTGGAAACTATCCCATCGGATAGAAAATTGAATTCTCTACAATATGGCATATTATATTTCGTGTTTAGATGCAAAAAGTTTTATTACATTTTTAAAAAATGTTTTGGTCCTTATTATGTAGGCAGTTATACACCTATTTGATTTGATTTTGAAACTTAATTTTTGGCTGCATCGGGTAGAGGGCACTTGAAACTATCTATCTATGTGCAGATCTAAGTTGGGTGAATAGTTCTGTTACACAAAATATATCTACGAAACTGTCTCCAAAAAAGAGTAAAAAAAAAGCTGGAATTCCATAACGGTCACTTCTCTGAAGTTTTCTCTGCTATGTAACATGTTCAAGGAAAAGTTCATGATAATTCTGATAGTGGCATATGTGGCTTTTAATTTGATAATTAAGCGGTCGTTTGAAACTTAATGTGAGACGAAGTAGTTTACACGTAACTGGAATACTCGAAAATGAAATTTCATTTTTTGAAACTCCGTCGATATTCTGACTATAACTTTCGATGCGCTTGGCCAGTCAAGGTTAAATTTTTTTTGAAAATAGAACCCATTAATATCTATCATTTTTTAAAATTTCTTCAATAAGCGTTGTTTTCTTGCCGAGATAACGGGTACAGAAGACAAAAAAATGAAATTTCGTACCATTTGGCCACACGCCTATATTTTATAAAAAACATTATTATATACAAAAGTCTAAAAAAAAGACAATATTTTGAGATGTTGATATTTAGCTTATATCATATATGTCCAAGTTATGCTTCAGTAATTTCATACTGATACACCATATCTTATAAAAAAAACAACTGAAATAAGACTGACTCGCGAGTGAAGAGAGGAATGTACACAGGACGATTCCTTTACAAAACATAAAATGAAGAACAATGGTTTTGATTGTGTGTGTGTCTATTGAAAAAAAAGAGTAAATAAAATAATGGGAAATATTTCCCACTTACTTGCGTCAAGTGAATAATACTGGAAATGTATACAATTTCCTGAACCATTTCATGATCCTAAGGTTGTTTAAAACTTCATATTTCTTATAATATAGATTTGCATATATGATTGGTGGTTGTGATAGTCAACAAAAAAATATGTTTCAAAAGTCATTACCCCGGTCAAAAAATCAGATTAAGATCTTACAATATCTCACAAGATCTTACAGGCAATACAATTTCATAAGATTCTTAGTCTAGGATCTTATAAGATCGTGAAGTAAAAAGCTTGTAAGATTCCTGGTATAAGATAGTAGCGAAAATCTTATAAAATTCTTGCACTAAGAATCTTACAAAAACATACGATACGAATCTTACAAGACTTTGTAAGATCTTGTAAGATGATACTGTAAGATTTTTCTTAAACATTCGAAAAATAAAACATTTCATGTTAAAAGTTTTTCCATGTTAATCGTATTTTAATGAGCACAAATTAGTTTTTAAACATTAAAATACGTTGAACTTAAGTTGATATGTGTTTTACACCAATTTTTGACTGCAAAGAATATGTGCCGCTAGTAAAAACGTTATTGGTTAATTGAGTTCGACCATTGTTTAGAGTTGTTTTAGGCAGAAAAAAAAGTAATCAAAATCCAGAAAAGATTTAAAGGGAGTAACGAAAGGAATATAATACTCAGTTTTCTTATCTTCATTTCGGTCGTTTTTCTCTCCACGCCATTCAGCGGAATAGAAACAGGGTAGACGAAACGGATTTGAACTAATGAGAAATGCAGCGGCTTGTCCAGCTAACGGTATCCTTTTTTCGCTCTTTTTCAAAATTTTATTGCAGTAAACCTACAAACTAATCTAAAACCGCAACTACATAATTAAGTACATTAAACATTTCTCTACAAAATGAAAAGTGTCTTGGCTCTGAATGTTGATTCGTTATGAAAATACAGCTGTCGTACAAACAGCCCCAAAAATCGATTTTGGAGGTTAGTTTCAAACTTAACAAGCTATGGCATCTTGCAGAGCAAACAAGTTTCTACAAACTGGTATACTTGTTGAATTTTTGCCTCCTCGTCGTCAGTCTTTTAGACACGTTTTTTAGATACCTCCAAAATCGATTTTTGGGGCTGTTTGTACGACAACTGTATTTTCATAACGAATCAACATTCAGAGCCAAGACACTTTTCATTTTGTAGAGAAATGTTTAATGTACTTAATTATGCAGTTGCAGTTTTAGATTAGTTTGTAGCTTTACTGCAATAAACTTTTGAAAAAGAGCGAAAAAAGGATAGCGTTAGCTGGACAAGCCGGTAGTCCAACTGATTAAAAGCCTTTTGGCTGCTATTTTACTGATAGACAGGATTGCTGATAGATTTTCATTTTTTCATGCCGTTTTACTACCAGTTTGCGCTCTCAAAATGAAAAAAGATGTTTTTCATTATCAAGCCTGTTTTCTTGCACTGATATGTTAGTAAAATTGTTGCCCTTACTGCTAGAATGTTTTTTAAGTGTTAGAACGGCTTAGTTAGATGATTAACGGCCCTTAAACGGTTACCATAATTATCACATAATATGTGATAATATTAGTATATCGTATTGTATTCTTTGTATTTCCATCCGCGTTCTCTTTTTCGAACGTACTGTATAGAAACAGCTGGGTAGATGTGTATGTATATATACACGTGTATTCTATATAACAATGTTTTTAAAAAAAGAACGAATGCCCGTTTGTATATATATATATATATATATATAGACTAGAACCTTTCGCTTTATAAACCACATACGATTTCATCTTTTCTTAACAAAGTGCGAAACTGTTTTACATCGTTTTTTGCAAATTATGTGCTTCTGCTTTTTTTTCAAAGGAATTACTCCGAAAAATAAAGTATTTTACAAAGTAAGTACACAACATTTCCAAGAGAGGAAGCGAATTAAGATAAATAAAATCTTCCAGCTTTTCCTTAATGATAGAGTTGAACTACATACTTGTTGGGTCATATTACAGCACCTCTTTATTTTTCTCAGATAATGCATAAAATCTAAGAGGTCTCCTTTTGTATAGATTCAGTTAAACATAGTGATTGTACGAGATCTCAAAATAAAAATGCACACAAGTGAGAAAAGGCCTTAAAGACGGACGTTCACAAATGTGAGTATCCTCGGTGTAAGATCGCTTTACCATTAGTGACTTTCAGGATGTAGCAAAGATCAGTTCGGTTCCGTTTGACGCACAGAGGATTGGGGCTCAGCCATTCCGTCTCATTCATAGGATGTTAGAATGGTTCTTGCAACGAACTAGTCCGAGCGATATCACTATATCCACGGGTATACACTCTTGGAAGTTCAAGCGTGAATGCTCGATGCTTCACATACGGCAAACGTAACCTTATTGGTAAAACTCATAATTGAATGAACTAAAAGGCATCAGTCTTTCTCACATTTAATTTAAGATCATTTTCAATCATATGATCGAATCAGAATTGCGAAATACGGCGAAGTGGGACTTAATTCACCTGAGCAAATGTTTCTCAAAAGCAAGCTCCAAAGCTTATCGAAAACTAGATAGTTTAACAGTATGACTACGGTCTAGGGGGAGTTCATGTATAGTAGAAGAACAGTGGGCCGAAATTGCTGTGTACTTTCTCTGACTTTGTATTAATACTGACTTTTCCTTTCCAGATACAGCTTATGGCGGGTAGCGTCCCGTTTCGTCGACTAATTAATTATTTTTTCTTGCTTTGTCGACAACATTGAGGCGGGGGATGAAATATGTCGGCGAGCCGCCGATACTACAAAGTGTCGACGAAACGGGACTGAATCCTTATGGCGTGATGGAAACAACACCTGGTTGGCGAAAATATTGAAAATTGATTCCACCATGTTCTCGAAGAAAGAAAAGTCCGAATAAAACAGAGTGGAATCAAGCATAGCGAGCTAAAAGCCTTCCACAAAGCTAGAGATCGATTAGGCATGCCTTTCTTCGAGTATGCCCTTGAGCGGAAAACGTCACTAGGTCGCAGGTCGAAGCAATTTCCCTCTTTAAAAACGGTGTACTACGTGCCGTTTTCGAAAAACGTCACGTTTACGGCCCGTTAACGTAGACTTAACGGGACGCTAACTTGGCCGTTTTGAACGGCCTGGAATGTATATGTAATCACACAGATATATCTGTGAATAAAAAGATGTGTAGAAAGCAAAACTATAATGGAATTTGACACCAAATAAAAGCGAAAAAGGGAACGGATTAGCAGCTGCAGCAAACAGCACAAAATCAGATGAGATCCTGCAGTGATCTTACCAAATCGTATGATAAGATACCTGTACAATCTTATAAGATCTTATATGCTCTTACTGTAAGATCTTGTAAGAATTTTACTATAAAATTCTATAAGATCAATCAGTTCCCAGGTGATTGAATCGTACTATCCGATCGTACAAGATCGTATACGAATCGTACGAAATCATATACGATTATGTACGATCTATATACGAATCGTGGTACCTGATTTGTCGTCTGGCTCGTACTGTACGGTTTCATACGAAGTTGTATGATCGTATATGATCTTGTACGATCGTATTATACGATCCACAGGACAAATCAGATACCACGATTCATATATGATTTTCATACGATTTGGTACGATTTTGTCTGATTCAGATACGATCTTAGTACTATTCTTCGACCTGGGTTTCTATGATTTTCCATAAGATTTTTATACGATCTTGTATGATTTTGTCTGATACTACAAGATCATACAAGATCATACTGTAGGATCATATAAGATTTTATAAGAATCTTATAAGAACTTACAGTAAGATTCTTTGACCTGGGTAGATTCTATTAAAAATGAAGATTTAAAAGACACGAAAGAGGTCTTATCAGATCTAACAAATGGATTGATTATTTACCCTCTAATTGAGGCTACAAAAATTATTGACGTAGCATGGAATGTAACGGAAGCGGCTGAGTTCGGTCTTAACGAGCCATTCTTTGATATTGTTGTGCTTCGTCACCAGCAAAGTGGTCATTATTTACTTGTGAAGTATCAATATTGTAAAAAACGGCAGTAAGGTTTCCGTTTGTTGTGGTCCATTGTCTCTTAAATTAAGCACGACCAGTCACAATAACAATCAACCATGTGTATCTGGTAGTGAATTTTATATCAATAAAATTCTTATTGAATCGTATAAAGGTAGAATTTTTTTAATATTCTATAGCATATTTCAGAAACAAAATTTTTCAGTAGTAGAGAACTTCAGTAAATATTCACACAAGAGTTTTCATCTTCTATGATTCAATTATGATAATTGACAAAAGACTGTAAGACAAGGTTTTATATTAAAGATTCTCTAAACTACCTTTTAAAAAAAACTACCTTCGGTTTATTCTTATAATTTCCAATAGGATAAGAATCTTTTTCTTGTCTAAACACTAACAGAAAAACATTTGAATTTCGAAACTGATATTTGTTTGGTTTAATTTAGATGAAGAGGATGTAAAGATCATCAACACATCTATTCAAAGATTTATTCAAAAGGCGACACGTTTAGCGGGCGAACAGATGATAACATCAAATGAATCGTTCATCAGCATACTTGAAGAAAACATGCTCAATCGATTAACTAATAATATTCCAGCTGGTGTAAAAGTTAAAAGATTGTAGTTTGATAGAAATATTCAAAAAAGACTTTATTTTTTTTATTTTTAAACGTTCAAAATTTGCGTCCTCCTATAATAACTTTTTCTTTATCTGTAAACAAGCAAAATTTTGTTATCTCAGTATGGTTATTTTAACATAACACTTTTTAATATTTATGAAACAGATGGTTGCTAATAAAAAAAACAGATTCGAAAAAAAAAACAACACAAACAAAAACGATATCTACCCTGATAGTCTTTATAGTTTTTTATAATATCATCTCTATTTTCTCATTTCTACAATCATTGTGTCGAAAGGCTTCGGTTACTAAAAAGATGATTTTCAGGATGAAAGAAGACAGCATATTCCTGGAAGTTAGATCTCATTTCATTACAAAAAGAAAATTGCAGTTCCAATGTCTTCACAATGCAATATTCCGATATTAACGATGCAGATTTGGTGAAATTATTGCATAGTGATGAACAATACGAAAAATATAAAATTAATGAAGCTATTAATGATCCGAACGAATTGTTGCGATAAGAGCCACTATAGCTAGTTTTATTTCTTTTTTTAATTCTTTTGTCTAATTTTTTTGCTCTCATCATTCTGAAGTCAAGACATAAATTGTCGCAGAAAGCTATAGACGACTTTTGTTTAATATTACACGTGTTAAAAGTTCAGCTTTGTCCAAGAAGCCAGCGTGCTGCTAAACGTTTTATTGAACGCAGATCGATTGCAAATTTACTACTATCTGTTCCAAAATACGGTGGTCGTGAGTATTTTGCTAATATCTTTTCACAGAGATGAGACAGCAATCTGCGGTTTTCACTATTAAATAACCAAGACCTTAGGACACATTTTTATAAGCAGAAACTTGTTTCAAAGTTTTTTGTAAGTCCGATTTTCGAGAGGATCTTTGAAAAACCAGCTCCGTTCTCAGAAAACTAACATACAATGTTAGTAACTTTTTTGCATGCGTAGGTAGTCTGAACGTTACTCTACAAAATTATGCAAGTCCCAACTCTCCAGTTACCGTCGTTCGGACGGGGCTCGCTTTCCCCGAGCACATGTCTATCTCCAAGTAGACATCTCTGGGAAGCTAGAAGTGCCATGGAAAATACGTAATCGACTACGCTGAGTATAGTGGCAACATTTCTTTTTGTGTAGAAATGAAAATAATTTCATCAGAGGTATTTTTGTGAAAAACCAGTTTTTCATCTGTTATTAGCAAAATGTGTCCTAAGGTCTTGGTTATTTAATAGTGAAAACCGCAGATTGCTGTCTCATCTCTGTGCAAAACACTCACGACCACCGTATTTTGGAACGGATAGTAGTAAAGCAGAAATCTGTTGGTCCACAATGTGGAAAATCCTCCTTTTCAATGATTAATTGTTATGATGGCACTTATTCCTTGAATGAAGGTTATATTGAGAAACCTCTGACTTATTTACTATTTACTATCGAACAACAAATTAGAGAAGTATTGTTGACTGAAAAATATATTACATTTCCTTCGCTCCACTTAATTCTCCAAGAAGATGACAAGCAGAACTCCACTTGTTCTCCCGATTCAGGGTTTGAAACACGATCTAATGAAACCATACCACTGGGTCTTATTAAAGATATAATGGACGCCGATGTTATCGACGAATCTTACGTAAAGAAACGGGATCATTTATTTTTTTTATTATGAATGGTGACGGAGTACAAATATGAAATAGTTCACAAAATTCTTTGTGGATGTTTACACTTATAATCAAATTAATCGCTCTTTCCGATTCAAGGTGAAGAATGTTATTTTGGGAGCAATATGTCAGGCAAAAGGAAAAAAAACGTAATCGGATTTCTCGGGCCATCTGTTATATTCCATCGGTGTGACATCTGAATTTCTTATGGTACAGTAACGTGACTAAGTCGAATAGACTTCAAATCGGAGTGGCAAACTTGTGTTTGCGATCCAGTGCGAAGTTTAAAATATTTCAATAAATATTTTATTCATTTATATGTGACAATAAGCGTGTTACAGGAAAGAGTTTTCAATTTTTACAGTATGAAGGCCCAACATCATTTCTGCCTATTGCATTTCGTCTTGAAATAATTTTTTTAAAAGAAACATTTATCTCTAAAAATATTTCAAATTAGTTATTTTATTCAGAATTGAATGCACTTCATTTTAAAAAAGGGTTTAACGCTCCAACTTGTAATCTGAAATTTTATTTACATTTTAAAATTTGACATTTCAACTTTTTTAAAACTGCGCTACTCTCGTTCGCCAGCAAGTCAGAACATTTTCAAGAACATGGTTGGATAGAGCTCGAAACACTCAACACGGTTTTCACAAACCTACATGCTAAGTGGGGGCAATACGGTAGTTTTCTCTATTCTCTAGAAAACAAAGACTTTACGACTTTCGAAAAAGAAAAGATCTTTTTCTTTTGACTCTCCTTTTGGAGTGATAACTTTCTTTTCCAACAAAAGGAAAGTGATGCCCTTTAATTTTAACAGAACAGTGGTAGCTTTTGTTTTCTAAAAGAGAAAAGTTATATCTTTTATGATACAATTAAAACAAAAGATATCAGTTTTCTCTTTTTGGAAAACAAAAGCTATGACGTTTCTTTTAAGTATCCTTTTTTTCGAGAACAAAAAACAGCACTTTTCTTGTTACTTTCCTTTTAAAGCGCTATCTTTTGTTTTAATTGTATCATAAAAGATATTACTTTTCTCTTTTTGAAAACAAAAGCTACCACTGTTCTCTTAAAATCAAAGGACATCACTATTCTTCTTTGGAAAACAAAAGATATCATTCCAAAAGGAAAGTCAAAAGAAAAAGATCTTTTTCTTTTTGGAAAGTCGTAAAGTGATGTCTTTTGTTTTCTACAGAATGGAGAAAACTACCGTATTACCCCACTTAGCATGTGAGTTTGTGAAAAACCGTTTTTATCCCAGTTCTGGAAGTCACTAATTGTCCAGATATGTTGAGTATTTCGAGCTCTATCCAACCATGTTCTTGTAAATGTTCCGGCTAGCTGGCGAACGAGGGTAGCGCAGTTTTTAAAAAGCTGAAATGTCAAATTTTAAAATATAAATAAAAATTTCAGATTATGAATTGGAGCGTTAAACCTTCTTTTAAAATGAAGCGCATTCAATTCTAAATGAAACAACTAATTTGAAATATTTTTAGAGACAAATGTTTCTTTAAAAAATTAATTTTTTGGAAATGGATGTGTGACAAGCCCTGGTTTTCTGGCAACCCTACTTCAGGCACTTTTAAAATTATTTGGAGTTATCCATCAGGAAGAGCATCGTTCAAACCCTGTAGACAAAAGTTAGCTTCAAAATAAAGCGAACCTGACTCCGCCAGCATTGTATAATCCAGCAAACTGTCTGAGAACATTTCAGATCCCGCTCCCCGTTCAAGTTTGATCCCTTTCAGCGACATTTCCTGAATATTCATAAACGCCACTTTCGAAACTTTATCGGCAATACAACTAAAGGACAATTTTTTTCTCCAAGTACCAGTCTTATAGAATGAGCTCTCAACTTCAAAATGAGGCAGCACGCGGTCTTACTAACGCCTGAGTACTGACTAATTATCCCGACGCTAAGGGTCATGTTTTATCTTTTGTTAATAAGAAGAATATAAAAATTTTGAAAAACGAGAATCACTCCAGAAAAATATTTTTCTACCCTTTTAAGCTAAATTATTTAGTTTATGTCCTTAAAGATAGTTTCAATTACATTAACTGACATGACGGTGTCATAGAACTAAATGTGTCATATTGAAATGGTGTATCCTATGAGGTTTTTTTGATACAAAAAATAACGCTGAAAAACGCGTTTTTCCTCGTTAAAGGGCTACAATTTACCGATAAAAGTGCGAAGCGTTGTGACGAACCACAGATTTTATATCGCTGTACGGCAATAAATGGTTCAAATAGCACGCGTTAACGGAATATTTTATTTTCGACGTTGTAACACATTAAGTCTTAGTAAGTAACGCGTTGACGTACTTGAACGAGTACAACGAGATAAAAAGTTGAAACACGTGGCAACTGAATAAACTTCTTTGTTCTTTATCGGTTCTGCTATCATAACATTGTTGATCGTAGTCTAATATTTTATCCGAGTGACTATTTTCAGATCCAATGAGTAAGAAAACTTGATCAGGTATAATAATTTCTTCTTGTGATTTTCCTTCATAGTAGCAGAAAACAAAGGAAACTTTCGCAGAATAACATATGTAAAACATGTTATTAAGTAATAAAGCAAATAAAATATGCATTTAACTTGACTCACGGAAAGAAGGAAAAAATCAGTTCGACAAAAACTATAGTACAGTGTTTACTCCCCTTCTACAGGAGAAGAAACTTACGAGGAATGATCTCCAACTGATAAATCGCTTTTTCAACGAAACCGACTGGACTATAG